AAAAAAAAATATATATATATATATATATATTAAAAAACGACAAAAGCACGTAAATACAATAAAAATAAATAAATTGGAAACTTAAAATACAAGAATAAAAACTATTTTAAAATATTAATAAATACTATAATAATATATAAATAATGCTAAAAACACTTTAGAATTTGTGGATGGATTAATTCAACAAAGAAAAAAAAACTTTCAATTTAAAATGGTTTATTAAGCACAAAGTCAGAATGAGAGATTTAATTTATGTACATATTGGTTGGTAATCATTTTAAAATAAATATTACAATAATGTTATTTCATTACCTTTATAAAACAAACAAAAATATAATTTTTTTAACTAAAATAATACAACAGTGATTCACAAACACAAGCTTTCTCAGTTGTTTCATTCAGTTTTACATTGTACTGCAAGTACAGTCTAGCTTGAATGGAACCGAAGAAAGTTTTCAAAAGAAACTTATTGACCAACTTTAAGATATGGATTCGGTACAAAGTCCCATTTCATTTAAAACAGTTTCAATTTCTCTCAGTAGGTTGTGCAGAGGCTCTAGCACTGGAGTGATGTGTTGGTCCACCCATTCCTGAACTGTAGAGTCTGAGTACAGCAGACACATCTCTCCTCTCACCTCTTGCACCTGGCTCTCCACAGCATCAAGAATACTGTTGGAGGAATTGAGAGGAAAGATATGGATATATCATAAAGACCTTGTAAAAAAATTCACATGAATAAGACACATGGTGTATCACAGTTTCCACAAAAATATAAAGCAGCACAACTGTTTTCAACATCGGTAAGAAGCAGAAATATTTATTTTATTGTAATGAGTGCGGAAGATTCAGATTAGCATCACAGATATAAATGACATGTTTAAATATAGTAAAATAGTAAATATATATATATATATAAAGGCTATAACATTCTATGCACACAAATAGATAGAAAAATAATAGAAAAGAAAGAAACTGTATTAATATGGATAGCATTATAAAATCAAAATATTAAATGGATTGTAATGTAAATAAAATACATAAAACAATGAATGCAATATAAAATGCAGTAGAATAAATCAAATTCAGCACTAATCGACGTTTGTGCAAAAAGTGTGTGACCGAGTGCTGTGCAGAACCACGCAAACGCCTCTGCGTACTTTCCTCCGAATAGAAGGAGGATCAAGAGCCTCGCAGCACCACGAGGGGGCCTGATGCAGTAACAGGAGCATCAGCCGTCCAAAAGAGCTTCACAGAACAGGCGGGTTTGCGCACTCACTCCAAGAATACTGTTGGAGGAATTGAGAGGAAAGATATGGATATATCATAAAGACCTTGTAAAAAAATTCACATGAATAAGACACATGGTGTATCACAGTTTCCACAAAAATATAAAGCAGCACAACTGTTTTCAACATCGGTAAGAAGCAGAAATATTTATTTTATTGTAATGAGTGCGGAAGATTCAGATTAGCATCACAGATATAAATGACATGTTTAAATATAGTAAAATAGTAAAACTAATTTCACAATATTACTGTTTTACTGTATATTTGATCAAATAAACACAGCCTTGGTGAGCACAAGAGACTTCTTTTAAAAACATTAAACAATCTGAGCAACCACAAACTTTTGAAAAGTAGTGTAAATATAAGTATGCATATTAAGAAACTTACATTTTTGCTTGTGTTTTAATCTGTTGTGCAATAAGTGGGTTAATTGTCTTTTTTTGCCTGTGGTAGGGTGTGAACCAGCCCCTCACAAACCTGTTATGCAAGAATGAATACAAATATTTGGTGAAAAGTTAGCCTTAACTTCACAACCATCTTAAAACTTAAGAGGCCCTAAACTCACATATTGTTCTGAAAATGTCTCAGTTCTGCAGACTCCAGCAAAGACGTCAGCTTCACTATCAGTTCAGCTAGTTTTGCCCCAGCAAAGGAGGAAGACGTCCTGGAAGACAATCTGGGACACACAGGCCAAAGAATATTCTGTAAATGAGTCTATTTTAAAGTAACCCTTGAGGTTTCTTAGTGGTACATTAACACATGCTTTTTTATCTTTTAGGGCACGAATATAAATATACGGTACCTCTCGTTGTCTTCTACATCCACAGTACCAAGTGTCTCAACCACCTTCTTTTGAGCCTCTTCAGTAAAGCCACCTGAATCACAGTGAACAGCTATAGTGAGTTAAGCATTCTTAATATTTATATACTGCCATCAATTTACCGACAAAAAATAAATCTAAATGAGTGAAAATGAAAGTGACTGACCGTGCAGAAGAGTTTGCAAACAGGACCCCAGAGAGGGCAAACCCACAGGCATCAGCTCACACAAAATAGACAAGTGGTCATATCTTAAGAGGAAACAAAGAAACATACATGTAGTTGTCTTGGCCAGTAAGACAATTGTGATTCTAGTGATAGTCAAGATGCCATCTAACCTTTGCCATCCAGTTAGAGCAATTCCCTGTAGCTTAATGCCAGCTGACAGGCTGGATGCTACTTTGAGCCATTGTAAATGGTTGTCCAGATGTCTCTGAGTGCTGGTCACACAGGTGTGCACAGTGGTCGAGCCTTTAAAAGAGCTGGCGGCCCACTGCTGTGACATACCCACGGACTTATATCGTTCCATTAGCATGACTGGAAAAGAACATGTAAAATAATCAAGCATTTTCATGATCAAATAGCTCAGAACATTTAACAGTAAAGTGTGTTTTGACCCAACTTACCAGTGTTCTCCACATCTAGAGTAGGGCTGTAATCCCACAACATTGGTTGCACTAATCCAACAAGACCACTCTCTAAAATAAGACCATAAATTGGATAGAAATTGTTATTAGTATAATGCAAAGAAAAGTGTATATACAGTATAAAAGTGATAGCCATGAATTAGAAAATGCACTATAATTCTTTTGGCATAGACTTTAGTTTGATTTGGTAATTTCTCACATAAGATTACATTTATTTATTTCCATTTAATTCATTTCATTTCACGTTGAGTCAATGTGGAGGATGTGGAACATTTAAGATATTTTTGCCCAGTGAAGATAGAGGTGTTGACCTTTAATGTATCAAGGGGAAGGAGGTGAAAGTATCATAAGCATGCAAAAAGCAACTGAAGGGATGTCTCTGGTGTCTGACGAGAAATAAACATTGAAACATGTCGCATGAGTAAAAGACCGACCATTTATAAAGTGCATCCTGGGTGAACAACTCCTTAAATTTTAAATTTTAATTTTAAGTTCCAAACTCACCTACAAACCCCCCCCCCCTTTTGTACTGTATAAAAAAGCTTATTTTAATATATAATTTAAAAGAAGATTATTCATTTTTAAGATTATACATGAAAAAAGTTTGAACTTTTTTTTTTCCAGTCAGTGGGGTTCACTGTTTTGGAATGACATGAGGATGAGTAAATAATCACAGAATTATTATTTTTGGACTACCCCTTTAAGCATGCATTTATACATATGGAACTATTTATTAAATGCATCCTTTCCTCTTATACGCAACAAAATCATGATAATTGTCCAAAATGGGTGATAAATATGTTAACTGCTCGCCTTTAATGGTCTCAGGGGTTATGGACCTGAGCATATCATCCCACATGATCAAATTAAGGTTGGGTGCACTCTCCTGAACGCCCTTTGCCACCTTAATGACATGACTGAGGAACAGCTGGTGAACGCTCCGACCTGGAACATCTAACCAATGTTTGGACTCATCTCCATGACCGAGCATGTACACCTATTAAAAAAATGTTTATTGGATCAACAGACCAATATAAAACTAGCACCCTAAGCTTAAATGTCAAACATCTTTGAGCAGGCAACAGTTCACTTGTAGGAATTATTATATTGTAGTCACACATGTGGCATTTTATTGATGGAGGGATGGGCTGTACCTCATCGGCTCCGATGTGCAAGCTGGTACTTTTAGGGTGGAGTTTCATGACTTGTTGTAGCATCTCTTGCACCAGCCTAACTCCTGCATCACGGTGTGGGTTCAGGGTGCCCAGACAGTAGTCCACCTCCCGCAGATCTCTAAATACCTCATGCTTCAGGACAAACTGATTGAGAACATTTTTAAATAGTAAAGAGTTTGAATATGCATAATTCAAATGGATAAATAATTCTTCCTCTCGGTAAATGACAAAAACAGGTTTCATAGTTACTTCCAAATGTCCAAATGTCTGAACCAGGGGAATGATCTCCAGCCCTCTACTGTAGGCAGCATCCTGGATAGACACAATCTCATCACGCCTGTTTGGATAATAGGTATTTTTATCAGTCACATTTAAAAAAAAAAAAAAATTATTTTGAAAATATATACTTGCCTGTATG